TGAGCGAGTGCAATTCATTCTCATAGGTGGCTGGTGTGTGACTCGTTGAACTCGCGGCGGCCGAGTATTTCAGACGTCGCCTTTTCATTTTGCTCGCCACCAAATGGATGCATTTTAACGGCGTGATCATTTTACGAAAACACCTTTTCTTTCGCCCTGCGCCTACGCCCTCCATCTCCGTCTACTCGCTTCTACTCTTCATCCCTCTTGCAAGTCGCTGTTTATAGGGGATATTTCGCGAGATGATAGAACGAATATTTTAACTGAAACGCGATTACGAAATGGAGATCGGTATTTTTCTTAATTCGTGGCAGTAACTGGTGGACGTTGTACCGAGTACGAAAATCATGATGTTTAATTGCGGTCGCATGTGTACACACCGGGAGCGATATTCTCCCAGAGATGGACATTTATTGCTCTGAGACGCGATGCCTCTCTCTAGCTCGTAAACAGGCCGTAATTTACGGATCCGCTTCGACTCTAGATTATGTGAGAATAATTGCGCGGGACACGATATTATTATTGCACGTAGCTCCGTCCTGTAATTCCTGTGACTATCGTTTTATATCGTTAAACATCTCTTTGGTAAATTAATTTCAAGTCTGAGAGGTCGCATACGTTTGTATGTGTAAAACAGACGGTCTGTTATACTTTCTGAAACGACGCGACACCGCGCTCTCAACATCGGAGATACGCGTTACGACTCTTTTCGTTGTTCCACTTTTATGAACCGTACCAGTCGCGGTTACGTGGCTCTGGTCATAATCTCGAAACAGGCTGCGTAGCACGCTTTATGCACGCACGGTAGCTAGCCGAGGCACGCGCAAAGTGCTTAACACGTTTTAGCAGCCGTACAAAGGTTCCTTGCATCGGACAACTTAAGATGTGCTCGTCCCTCGAAGACGTGTCTTCGTTGATTTTACTTTTCGTTCCTTTCCGTGTTTTGTTTCGCCGCCGTCTACCGCCGTAACTCGTGTTCTCAACCACGCGCAAATGTCATTTGCGGACGTGCCTTTGCGCGGCTGCACGTACCGTACACGCAGACAGACACATATAAACGCACACACAATGTCTCTGTGACTGTGTACAGTTTGGAAAAACGCGTGTCCGTACACGCGACCCGGAGCGTAGAAGTCGCTTGTGCTCGTGCGACGCGCGCGCGTGTTCGTTACGTACGCGAGCGAGGACGACGACCACACGGCGACGCCGACGCGGACGTCGACTATGCGTTTGTTTCCATGGTTACCGTAGACGTGGGACTAGGGCCGCACACCCTCGAACCTCCCTCCCTCCCTCCCTCCTCGATGATGATGTGCCGAGGATCGAGAGCGGTTCCCGAGGAAGGGGCTGGCCGCAGGCGAATTAAGAGTTCGAAAAGCTTCTATCTCTCCACCCTTTCCGACCCCGCTTTCTTCTACCCTCGGTTTTACTGCTTTTCTTCTTTATTTATTCTACCCTGATCACCGGCCTTCGAGTAGCTTCCTCGCGCGCTTCCTTCTCGACAAACAATTCTGATTACATAATTTCTAACGTGTCGTCTCGTGTCGATTCCTTTTTATCGCCAGACGTGCGAGCACGAGTCTCAAATTTCGGAACATCCAGTCATAAAAGAATGAATTCCTGTCGAAACGAGGTGAGGCAAGCAGGTCGCTTTAGTAAAAATCGCGTGAGACTTCATAAGATCTGCACGTTCAGGTATTTTGCCAGAAGCGTGAATAATAAAATCTGTTGAAGGCCGAGCAGAATTGAAAATATTGAAATAAAATCGAAGCTCACATTGTATTTATCTCATCTCGTTACGAGAGGAAGTGCTTAGATAAATTTTGTTTCGTCGAACAAAACGAATTGGACGTCGGTGTATGATTGCATTGTAATTAGATTTTGCCGGGTGCGAGGCAAGTTCCGCGGAGTACGTGTAATCAAACGAAATGACGCGACTGAGGCTGATTATTCTCAGAAAGCGGGGCGGGTTTCGGGGATCGAATCGCGAAGGGATGCGGCGACGCGAGCGTCGCGGCGCGCAAATATGTGAAATGGAAATTGGATATTACGTGCTGGGAAGCTTGTTGATTAATACGCGATTTTCTTCACCGTCGACCACTTTATTGTTGCCGGAGTATCTACTCGAAGCTTTGCGAACGTCATACTTAAACGTAAGTCGCACGGGTAACGATTCGATAGAAATATGTTGGGATAACGTACAGTCGTTATCTGCGCGCATCGCGTTTTCGCTGCTTCTCGTCTGTCTCGTCGTCGTTTTTGCAATCATCCTCTATTGTTCTCGGAACAGCGGCAGTGGACAGGTGGCACACCGTGTGTACACTTTGCGCCCAGTCGCGATCGGGTATCGCCGATTCATTGAATTTTTCGAATTAGAACGGAAGGGATCCGTTCTGTATTCTTTTCACTGCCGTCGCATGCTTTTTTTTCTAGTGCCTTACCGCAGTGATTTAAAGATATCGCTTGTACGAGTGATAACAGAAATCGTAGGAACGAACGAGGGTGAATGAAAAGGGAGAGGTAGGCGAACTGGGAGGAATGAGAAAGAAGCTCGCGGTGTCAGTCCTCTCGTGAGCACATAATACATCATCGATGAAGCGAGGGCTTTTAAGCTGTCTTGAAAATACCAGCCGGACGAGTCCGTACGAGTTAGTTATTAATGTCCCACCTTCTTATAAGGTACTCAATTTTCGTTCTGTATGGAAGAGAAATATTAGTCTTAATACGGGTACCACCGCAACGAAACGCTGCAGTATATCAGACCGGCAGCGAAAATTACAGCCCGACGAAGATGTTAATATCGGTGAACTTTATCGTCGACACACACACACGCGCGCGCTTGTGCTCGCGTTGATAGTAGGGACGCGGGACACGTGAGCACACATTGTTTTGACAAAAGGTCGAACCATCGAACTTTATCGCGCGCTGCGCAAAACTACTCTCGAATGATCTGCATCGGAGGTCATAAATCACCGGCCCCTGGTTACCTGAGTAAAGATTATTTTTTATTTCAATCGATTTCGCGGCTGTCTCTTTCATCGGGTGATCATCGAATTTGCACCGCATCGTTTAAACTGTTGTCCCTTTGAAAGATCGGCTCGTTGTGCAAGTTGCTGATAATATTTATCATGTACACACGCTGGAATGAGAATTAATTTTCGCACGTGACGATCTTTATCGGCGACGTTTCGGCACAACAAATTTCTAGCGTAGGAATTAGATTAGATGAGTGTACGCCGGGGAAATAGTTTTGTAACTTTCCTAGATGGATAATCGATTTAGAAAAGTTGCATAGGTTGCCAGAGGAGCCTCAAAGTTTGCCAATGTAATCTCGATAGCAGCGTCCCGTTGCCGCGATATATCTTCGCTCAATTACATACATACCTTCGTCCTAAAAGTATCCCGAGTATTTCTTTCGACTCCGAAAAGCTCATCATCCACATTGTTCCGGACCGCGGTTTCCTAATTTTCTTTTCAGCAGCGAGCATTCTTGCCAACTGACCTCCTCGACTCGCTGTCGGCAATAATTCTTACTCGCCGGGGGTGGAAGCAGCATGAAATTTCGATCGATAGATTTTATACGGTAACCGGCGATTTATCCGATACGCGTTGCGAAACATGATTGCAGGCACGGAAGATAAGCAGGTAGTTTCATTTTCTACGGTGAGTGGCACTGTATCAATGGACTCTCGATTCCTAAGAATTACTCTGAACGAGACTGCGATCTCTCCGAGTTTATACAGCATCGTTTTTAAGCTCGGTTCGCGGTTCTGTTACGTATCGTCCCTTCAGATCGATAGCGATCGTCGGAATCAGGGGAGAATGGTCGAGACATACGCTTTAAGCAAACTTTTTATCGCGGAGACTTCTTTCGGCTTCGCATTCGGTTCCTTTTCATACCTTTCATTCTTCGGGAGGACTCGTTTATAGCACCCTGTGGATATCGTAAAATAGGAAATAATTCCCCAGAGGAAACCGTGGAATTTTTTCTATAGACGCGACTGAAGTTCTTCCGTTGGTTCCTCGATCGCGTAACAAAAAGCTTTTGTCTCATGTTACAACTTATTTCGGCTCGAAAGAACAGACGAATTTTTCATTCCTGTCCGAAGTACGTATTTTTAATTCCAAGGGTATTATTCGTCTATCCGTAGTCTCTTTGAACGTACATAAAAAGCAATCGTTGATGCATTCTTTCGTAATAAACGTACATTTAACTAGTTTTTTAACAGAACTATAGGCACGTATTATTTGGCAATTGGTTAAACGTGCCGAGTGTTTACGCGTTCCCTTGAATAAAAACGGTTCTACTCGGAACGCTGCCATTCCCCAGGCATATTACCGTGACAGTGTTACGACTTAGCATTGTTAATATAATTACACGAGCATACTATTCCCAATGCTATTACGGAGCTACTGAAACGCGATGGCTATACTAGTTCGATCATCGAGCTGCGAGCGTTTCTGGGTAAGAACGCGGCACGGTCTTTGCTCTTATGTGCTCTCGTAAACGTTCAGGGGGATGATTTCTCGAGTCGAGGCACATGACACTTAACGCAAACCTCGAAAGCGTTCCCATGATAGTACCGCGAAACTGAGAACGATCCCGTCGCCGGTAGCTAGCGACGGTGACCGAGAAAGGAAGGAAACGTTTCGCGTAAAACAGCATCGTTGCCTGTAACGAGGAGTATTTTCTCGGTCGCATGTGGCGTCCCATGTTAGATCCCTCGGAGTTGGTAGTGACGCGCTTGCCTGAATTCAACTGGATATTCGACTGCGCGCATAGACGCGCGAGCGCGTAGCCGACCGGGCAGCCAGCGGGGGTGGCGATGGTTTCGATAGTGGCGGGGGCATCTTTGCGGCTCGGGTGGGAACGCCGGCTCAGGGGAAAACTGCCGTCGCTGGAGCACGCGGGTGCTGAGAAGAGACAGGGGTCGGACCGTTGGTAGCTGGTAGGGGTAGCTCTCTGAATCCCTCGAAACTCCGAGCGACGATGCTCTCTCTCTCGATTCAGTTCCGAAACCAGAGCCAGAGACGAGAGTACACTCGACCCGTGTTCGTATCGCGTACCCTCCCGAGCTTCTCTTCCATCTGCCCCGGTCCGTCGCGTACCGCTCGTCGTGTACACGCGAATCACAGCTGGCCTTCTTCTCTTCGTCGTCGGCGTTCGTGACGCTCTCTCCGAACCTCGGTCGAACAACCTGAATTCCTCCTGTTCTCCGGGATCGTTGTTCCCAGTGCGAGCCAGGGATTTAAATAACGGAGTTTACGTCCTGGTACGTCTCGACCCGCGTTTCGATTCTTCACTGAGGGGGGGGTTTTAGTCGACACGCGGTTTAAGTAGATCCAATTGAAACGAAACGAGTGCGACGATGTTTGTGGAAGGCGTCAGAGTCCGGAAGGGTCACGAATGTGTTTGAAAATCCGACGGGGCTGTAAAAGAGTGAATGTGCAGCTGTATCGCTGCTGGCTCGGTGGTCCTTTTCGAGCCACCGAGCCATCCTCTTTTTCTTTCTCTCTCTCTCTCTCTCTCTCTTTCTGTTTCTTCGTCTCTGTCGTTCTGCGACCACCTCTTGATCTCTGTCTCTTTCCCTCCGACCGTTTCAGGAATTCCGCCGCTCCCGTGGGTGACAAAGTCGGAAAGAGCTCGTCGATCGACTTTGCCGGGCACGTGTATGCGTGGCCGTGATGATATTTGAACTCTCGAACCCGTCAAAAGCCATACCCTTTAGCGGCCTGTGCTTTTGCTCCGAGTGCACGTACGTATTTGCGACAGGCATATCTCGCATTTAATGGAGACGATGGGTCGTTCTCCTTTGTCACCGTCGAGTGGACGCTGATTTATTTAATACACCGCGGCACTCCGACCACGTGTCTCGGCCATCTCGGCACTCTTTGTACTTGCCTGTGTTTCCCGTCGTCGATTAATTGATTAACTATTTGACTTTCGTACGTTCGTCATCAGAAACGGTTCGCGGTATTGCAATTGTACGACCGGCGGCGTTCGTTTTCCTGTTTCTCTCGATCAAATTTAACGGCAGGCTACATAATTGGAGAGGAAAGTTTTCTGGAACAGCGGGGTAAATAAATATTACGATACGCGAGCACTGCAGGCGATCGACAATCTGTTCGTTTTCCTTTTACACGGAAGTTAAACAAAGTCCTTTCCCGATGAAAATCGTACCGTTCGAGTGGAGTAGTAGAAACGATATTTAAATTTCAAGTTTAAAGCATCGGGACAAAGCGAGCGCTCGATGCATATGCACAAGGGATTTCGTGTTGCCAGCTTGCGGACCAATGATTAGAGATGGGAATATGTACATGCATACGTCTGTAGGAAAGCGTGCGGCTTCTGCAAATGCGTTTCACGATCCACTTTTCTCAGTTTGCCTCGACTTTGTGCAGCGTCTCCGTTCAATAGGAATCTCCGTAAGAACGCATTCGCTTTGTCGTTTCTCCGTCGTTGGCGTTTCTCGGTTCAAAGCAACGGCGTCGATTCCCGGTGATCTATTATTAATATTGTTTCCTCGGCATCGAGGTCTAAACGGAGTGTGAACGGTAGTAAGAAAGAGGAGAATCAACGGAGATAAGAGGATGCTCTTCTTTTTTCTTTATACTATCTTAAGTCGGATAATCGAACCTACCTGATCGGGAATAAATCCAGAACCCTTTTCTCGACTTGAGTTACGTCATCTGTATCAATGACCGCGGCTCGGTATCAAAGTTTAACGAGTCGTTCGTCGGTTCCGCGAGTCCAGATTCAACTGGTCCCCTAACTCTGATAATAATTCGCTGGACATTGTGAGTTCATTCAGTAAAATTACATCGGCTATTTATGGAGCTCGTAAAGAACTTTAATGCAGTCGTATTTGTAAAATGAAACTATTTACGCGCGTTCTATTGTATATAAAGCGAGGGAGAAAGAAATATACGTATGATGCTTGAAAGACAAATAGAGGAGAGGGAGATGAGTCCTTAACGAATTGTCAATTGTCGTGAAATCGTGAGTAAATAAACATTTCTGGTTTACAGAATCGCGAAACGATGATCGCGTCCGCGACGAGTGAGAATCAACTATGTTCGGGCACTAACACTAATTCGGCGGGGATGCCCCGATGAAGCACGATCGAGTGGGGGCGTGTGACGAGTCGGTCAAACGGTCGAGTCAGTCTCGGCGTTCGTACAAGGGCGTACGGCAGCAACCGTGAGTTACGATGCTTGTGAAAAGTTGACGACGCCATGTGACGCGTATAAACCGGGATTTGGAAGTGCGACAGCACAGTAGTTGCACCGATGTGCCCGACTCTGTACGACGCGGTCACCGCTCAAGTGGACCCTTCTCTGCCGCGGATGTTTACCAAGTGACAGTGCCATACTCGGTAGTTAAACTGGAAAAGGACCGAGCGGTCGTTCGATCTGATCGAATCACGGTGCTTCGGTGAGGATTACTGTGAACGATACAGAAATCAGTAGTAATGCCGTGATGGGCTGCAGCTCGAGATCGTCCTTCCTGGCTACGCTCCTTGTGGGTGGATTACTCTTCGTCGTCCTGTCCTGCGAATCATCCGACGCAACGAGTGAGTACATTGATTCAACATTTACATTTACAAATCTCTCTTTCAATGTTCGTACTGGACTCCCGACGGAGTCGGTCAAAGCTGTGATTTAATAATTTGATCATGTGTGACATAAGCTCGCGTAATCGACTATCGTCGTGTTGACAAGCACGATCAGCGGTCGGTTTAGCATAAACTGAACACGACTGATGTTTCCCTGATATAAAAGTACGTGCGTTTATACGCGTAGAAATAACTGTTTGATGGATAATAACGTAACGTGTGTGCGACAGGCGAAGACTATTGGTTTACCATAGAAGTTGTTGTACTTCTTCTCGCTTTGTAATAGATATTTTCAGTAATAATATCGGTTATTGTTGTAAAAACAGCGCGTAACGTTTTCTTCGCTTTGAGACTAAACATTGCTTCGCGACGCCGGAAACCATTCAAAGAAATTCTATTTTCTATGTAAACTTTCACCTCGAGCTTCGAATTAATGTTCGTCTTCGGGGGGTATTACAAATCGGTGAGGAAGCCAATGAGCTGTTCGTCTTTTTTTCAATCGGTGTTTCACCTACCCGAAGTGTACATACGTACCTACATATGTGCGTATGTGTTCGGTTTAAGCAGCCGTCGCTTGTTTTTCAAGGAGGCAAAAAGTCTGTCTGGTTTCTTACATCGGTTCTTATGTAGTTTTTTACGTGGTTTCTTATGTCGTTTCTTATGTGGTTTTTATGCGAGACGAGACAACCCTTTGAAGTATATAAAAACACGGGTATTGACACGTGTGGCGCTTAAACCCGGGAAGAAAGATAGTAAAAGATATCGCACGACAGAGAGGGACGCAGACTGAAAAGTATAGCTCGTAACGAAGCAGAAGGAATCGAGATTCGCGTCGAAACGGCTAGTTCGATGCATATAGTTAGATATGCGATGTATCGTGGAGAGGCAGGGACGATACAACGGAATATGTATAAGTAAACCCTTTCCCTCATGCTCGCTCGTCGTTTACGTTTACACCCTGTACGGATCTCGTGGAACGGGAAGGGCGGAAGGGAAGAGCGAGGGTGGCGAAGAGGGCGTGAACGGTGCTGTGGTTTTGCTCAAAGGAAGTTGAAGCCAGAATGGGACATGGACGTTGTCACACGATGGGCGCGAGATGGCTGATATTCCCTTGTTTTCCTTCCCTTTGCTTTTCTTTCCCAACCGTGTTTTCTTTTTTATTAAAGGACTCCTTCGTTCTCCATCTGTTCTTCACCTACATTTTCATTTTTTCGTCTGGCTTCTTCTTAGCTGGAAGAGTAACGTTGTTTCATTGCGACTGTCCTCGTTCATTTCGTTTGCGGAGCAAACGCGGACAGACGGCGTTATAACTTCGTTCGTCGTACCGTGTCGCCTCTACGCTCTTTGTTACGAGCTCGTATAATTTCAATATCGATGCGTTCACGTAATATCTGTAATTCAGCAAATGGCGAAATACTTAAACAGTACGATTAATCTTTGCTCGTCGAATGTCGTTATGAAAGTTTAATGGAACTCGTAATTATTTTTCTTTTGTTAATTTGTTCTTTTTTTTTGTTGTTTTTCTCCTACGATGTTCCACGTCTATGCTGTTTACCTTTTACGGTGAGGCTACGTGTATTTCGAGTGCAATTTTTTTATTCTGCGAAATAGACTGGGTGAGAAATGTAGTTTCAAAAGGAAAATGATAAAGAACAATTAAATTTCGTTGCACCGTGAATATATAACTTGGTTTACGTCTATTATTAATGTATGTCAAGTTTCTAATTTCATGGGACGCGTTCGTACCACCTTGGAACACGGGTTTTATTCTTTCGTTTCGTGTGCATCCATTCTGCTCGCCGACGATGCTTTTAAGGGCGCGCAGACGGTAAATAATGTCGCAATTATTTTTATAAAAAAGAATAGCTACATTTGGCTCATTTTCTAGTGCATTCCGTGTTATTATTCCTAATGCCGCGTCGTACGGCTCTTCTGGTACTTGTGCATTCTTGAAAAATGTTTGTGGACAGTTCCTTTTCACATCAGCCCTTTTCATTCTCTCTGAGCAACGTATCTTTTTCTCTCCTTTTCGTCCTTCTCTCCCTTACCAACTTCCTCTCTCGAATTTCTTTCAACCCCTGCTAGGAGCGTAATAACTATTCTTATTTGCCTCCGCGTCTCTTTTTTTTTTTTTTCCTCTCCATCTTCTCATCTCTTCTCTCCGAGTCGTTTTCCACACGCGTATTCTGATTCCGAACGCTGGACAGGCTTCTGAAGTACTTCAGTTCGCGTCCGTGCAACTTTTTTCGGGTCAGTTTCGACCATCGCTATTTCGCTGCAACAGATGCTTGAATAAAAGTTCGCGAGAGCTCCTTCTCACATGGGCGTTTTCTTTCGTTACCTGAACGCACCTGCGATCGTTTTCCTCGCTTCCTCGCTCTGTCCGTTGACCTCCTGCGAGATTGATGACGTCTTACCCTCGCAACCGGTCGCTCTTTTTCGTCGATTGGTCGATCGTCGTTTTTCTCCCGTTTCGAGGGAACCCGGAAACGAAAAGTCGGCGGTACAACAGCTTTCGAACAAGCCGTCATCGTACAGGGAAAAATGAATCGTTGGAAAAACAATAACGATAACGGTATCACAGCTCGCGTCTACCGCGGATGAAAAATGGGCCTCCGCGTAGGAACAATTTCCAGTAAAATATTATAGATCCTAATAAACTGGAAGGTACGTCCTCTCAATTTATCGGAGGCGGTAGGAACCGTGATTGGACCGATCGGCCAGAGCGATGCGGTACGCGCGAGCAAACATTTTACATCCTCTCTACAAAGGATACAACGCCGGGATTAATCAAATTCCTATTTTTCTTTTTTTCTCCCGCTTGTTTCCCTCATCGTTCCTCCTTTCGCGACCAGACGGACGATCGTTCGTACGTACGTGGCCACCGGCGGATTACGAAATTATCGAGCGGCTGCATACTTCGCCTTGCCTCCGCGTCTGGCTTGTTTCATTTTATTGGCGTTTGCTCGTTTCACCGTGAACACCGATATTACGCATTAGAGATTACGCGTTGCCCTGACTGCGAACAGCAGACCGTCGCCGATGCGTTCGTTCCGCGGGACCATCGGGCTGCGTTCAATCGATACGAATGCGCGCTTCCATGGAATTATGAGCATCGGCCCCGGTACCACTGGGCTTTTATTTGTTTTCAAGATTTATTTCGGAAATCCCATCGCGTCGAGTGCATTATACGTGTACAGCCGGCATTATGTTCCGTCCATCGTATCTTCTCTCTTCCGCGGTTATTGTCAACGAATTTCGCGTTAAACGAGATTTAAATGCAGATCGAACGTGTATTTATAAAAAGAAATCAGAGCCCGAGTTTCCTTGCATCGAGTCCTAGTTATTAGATGATCCAGTTGCGACGGTTCATTCATTTGAAGCGATGTCTCTTGTACATTACGCCTACGCTGTGGTTAGATTTATGTATTTTCGAGGATGGAACCGTACTATCTGCTTTATGACTCGGCAGATGAGCAGAATGGCTTCCCGGCGCTGTACATCGCCACCCTCGTCCTATGTACTCCCAAAGGACTCCTTTCTGGCAACGACCCGCTCTGCGCCGCGTCGCCGCTAAAGCATCGACAACTTTTAACGTCCCCTTTTGATTTCCTGTTCTCTCTGCAATCTTTTTTTTTTTTTTCTCTCCCCGCGGCTCGGATGACTTCCGATGTATCTTCTTTATATTCCTCCTCTGGTTCTAATTGGTTTAAGTAGAGTTTGCTCGCAATAAGGAGAGCGTAGCAAAAGATACGACGAACAAAGCGGCGACGTTTAAATTGCAGAGAACGGTTCGGTAACATCGCGAATAACGATGCTTCTTGGCTAATAGATCGTTTCACGTCTAATGGACCGTATTCGCAAGTAGTATCGGCATTTTTTCTCTCTTTCTCTCACTCTCTTTTTATTTCGAATGAGAGATATAGACAGTTGCACGGTAACAATCGCGCTTACTCGCGAACGAAGGAAATTGATGGAACGTGTCTCTATCGTTCTAGTTAGTCGGACGAGTTTCGTGCTCGACTCGTCATTTTTGCTGACATTCAAAACCCTCGAACGCCGCACGGATTCGAGATCCCAGTGATTGATGTAACGATGGTTTTATCTTTACCTTTTTGTTGACGCGTACGCGCGGGGATTTCGAACCTCCGATGGATCCCGGGAACGGGTAGGTACACAGGCGCGGGGACACGAAATCCCGTGGGAACGGCGTACCCGGGGTAGAAATATACAGAAACGATAAATTACGCGGCCGCCCGTTTAATCCTCCGTACGCGTTCCACGTAGTAGGTGTATCGGTCGCGCGATTAAATTCTGCTCGAAGAAATTAGTTTTGTCGCATATAAAATTGTTAATAAAACCCGCGGGCTCATAGAAAAGGAATAACGGGACTGTGACTAGAATTACCGTCGCGGACCACCGTTTGTATGTTTTCGTAAATGCACAGACTTAAACCTGTGAGGTTCGCCATGATTTCCATTTCTAATTTTCACAGAATATTTGATAAGATTCGACCGCCGAAGCTTTTTTCCTTGATTAAACAGTCGACATCGGTTCTTGGTTTGATGGACGAGCGCGTCGGTGGAAATTGCGGCCGTTTACCGATCTTCATCTTCGTGATAACTTCGTATATACTTGTGTGATCCATCTATCGTCTCGTTACAAATATCGTTTCCTTCTATCGCGCGAGAGACGATATTTTATCTCCATGTAGAATGGAAGACAGTTGTTCGTACGCGAGTGCATCATCCGGCGGTAATTATGGCGCGTGCAGGAATCGATAACGAGACAAAAGAGGGTGGCGAAGGAGGGTGGCGGCGAAGAACGGACCGGCAGGACGTAACCGGACAGAAACGGACCATCGCATTATCGTTGCATTCACGCTCGGACGAACCCGTTCAATCGTTATGGATAAGCTATTGATACAGGAGAAAATGGTTAGTAATAACGCGCGGCGC